GAGGCAAAACCTCAAACTCTGGACCCTGACCCACATATCCTTGACCCCAAACCCTGAACTCTGAACCCAAACCTCAAACACTAGGCCTACTCTAGACCCGGGACCTATGATGCTATACTGTATCTTTTAAGTCTATACCTAGATTTGTGGACCCTTCACCTTGACTCATATATTTCAGGATACTGAAATATAACATCAAAGCAGAATCCTGTTTCAGGTCCTGTCAGACCTGTGCCTGTGGACCCTGAGTCCAAGTTTGACTTTCTGAGTTCAATGCTCACACCTTGGACCCTAACCTGTGAATTTTGGACCCAGAACCCGCGACCTAGTTCTCTGAACGCATACCTCAGATTTATTAGATTTTAAACAGATTAAAACCAGATACAACCTGAATGTTTACTCACCATAGAAAGCAGCCGGCAGCATGGTTACCTAAAAAAGCCCCGTGATTCATTTTCCCCTAGATGGCAGCACATATGCTCGTTTGCTTTATTTATTTCGATAATTAATAATGCTATCGTCAACGGCTTTACACCACTACTACATTAATTAATTAATTTATTTATATACATTAATTACATTTACAATATAATTATTAATTAATATGCAGCTAGAGCTAGCTGCCTGTTAAGCACAAAGGTTGACAGTTGTGCAGAAGCAGGAATAGAAGCAGACCATCAGTAGATAGTCTGACATCTGACCCAATTTTTTTTTTCAAAATGTGGACCTTTTTCCATCTAGAAATTTTTAGTGAGGCAACTGCCTCATTTGCCTCAATGTAGCTACGCCCCTGACTATGAGCCCCAGTAGATTTGACTAACAGACAGCACCGTTATTCATGCGTGGACAGGACGCGGTGACTACGGCTATACTACACAAGTAGTATTCAGTATAAGTATACACACAGTAGTAAGTATACACAGTGATACTGCGCGCAGCGAATTTAGCGAATTCTAACCACAATTTACGACACCTGCGAGACGACTGGAATAGTCAGTTTAGAATAATATGGCGTCGCCGTTCTGCGCAGAAAGACTAGCAGCATGGAAAGGTCGGTATACCGACCGACAGACTAAAAATCGAATTATCCACGATGAACAAACAGAGTCTCCATGAAACGTGTGGCACACGCGCGCGCGTAAGGGGAATGGGGAGTGAGTTCAGCCTTTACCTCTGCCCTTTTCATCCGCGCTGCTAGTAGAAAAAAAAACGAAACAAGACGCCGAAAATAAATAACCGCTACCGAGTAAACAACAGAGAATTTACGAATTTAAATGGCTATATCATAGCAGCTGCTGAATACAAACTAGGAAATTCTCTAGCTGCTGGGTGAGCACCTTCCCATTGCTCCCTTACCCCATGAGGGATTGGAAGCCAGGATGGTATTGGCACCACACAGCTCTCGTAAGAACTTCATCGCCAGCCACAGGCACCCCGTCGCGTCTATACCTTGCACGCCGCCCGCCTACAAATCAATCGACATGCACTGTGTAGATGGACGTACTCCCGTTGTCATCGTCGTCGTCGTCGTCGCCGCAGCGCGGGCGCGGGGTCCGTTCCGTATGCCGTCCGCACGCGTGAAGTTCCTGTGGTGAACGTGACGACCGACGACGCGTGTGCGTGCGTGCGTGCGTGCGTGCGTATTTGTATGCATGTATATGGAGATTGGGAAGCGGGGGGAAAGCGGCAGACAAGCAGGTGCTCATGCACGCCAGCAGGAAAACTACACAAACAGCATGTAGATGCGCGAAGCCCCTCATCATAACCACGAAGGGGAAAATATTTAGGAAGAATGTGATCACAGGTTGTGTGCCGACTTACACTGCCGATGTAGCACAGTGCACCGGGAAAGGGGCGGGGGGGACAACAGAGAGACGAACACGCTCTCATTCCTTAAGGATTTGCACAGTAAGATTCGAATGTTTGAGACACTCACGTTCGCTCTAAGTTACTCTATTTGTGAGAGGCTTCGTGCGTGTGCGAAATCGACCCATCCACCTGGCGTCACTGACATGCAGCTCTAGCCCATAGTTGTTGTGATACGACACTCTAAAAGATAATGCTTAGCAGTGAAGTACCGCAAATTCGAGTTTTGTGCGCATGCGTGAGAAGTGCGTGTAAACTGGGTGAGCGTGGCCGACACAGCAAAAACATCCAAGAGTGACATAGTCAACTTGCTCAGATAGATAGGTCAAATAGGTTAGCATGGGGTTAAAAGTTAGAGATAGCGTTAGGGTTAGAGTTAGGGTTATAATTGGGAATACAATTAGGATTATGCTAAGGGTTCGTGCTAGGGCTAGTTTTAGTTCTTCGTTTTTTTTTGCGACTCTCGAATTCGATCCCCGAATCCCGAGTCTGTGGTCTCAGTCGTCACCCCGTCGGGAAACTCTCGCGTAGCCGCGGACGACGGACGGACGCCTCGCCCCGCCGCGCCGCGTGACAACGACGGCCCGCGCGATAGCTTACCCCAGGTGGGCTTGGAGACGAGCGCGGCTTTAGCGCCGCACAGCTCTCGCAGGAACGTCATCGCGAGTCGCAGGGCTCCCGTACCGCTGAGGCTCTGTACGCCTCCCGCCTGCAAGCACAGCCGTAGACACACACACACGGGTGAGGGGCTAGAGTCGGGCCGCGCGCGAGAGGGAAGACCGCGCGAAGCGTTAGGCTGCGTACCGACAGACAGGTAATCACAATGACGCGCCCTCGTTGGATAGAGGGCGCTACGAGAGAACGGCGGCCACAATGATGACTGTTTGTCAGGTAGGGGGCGTTCTGAAAGGCTGCAATGATGACTGTTTGTCAGGTAGAGGTGCTCTAAGAGAAGTCACCACAATGACGAATGTTTGTCAGGTACGGGGCACTATAAGAGGCCATCTCGATGACAACTGTTTGTAATGTAGGGGGCACTGCGAAAGAAAGGTCACCACAATGACGATTGTTTGTCAGGTAGGGGTACTACGAGAGAACCGTCTCCACTATAACGAACACTTCTAAGGTAGGGCTGCTCTGAGAGAAGTCACCACAATGACGAATGTTTGTCAGGTACGGGGCACTATAAGAGGCTATCTCGATGACAACTGTTTGTAAGGTAGGGGGCATTGCGAGAGAAAGGTCACCACAATGACGATTGTTTGTCAGATAAGGGGTACTACGAGAGAACCGTCTCCACTATAACAAACACTTCTAAAGTAGGGCTGCTTTGAGAGAAGTCACTACAATGACGATTGTTTGACTGAAGATAGGGGGTGCTACGAGAGAACCGTCACCAGACTCACGACTATGACGGATGTTTCTAAAGTAGAGGTGCTCTAAAAGAAAAGTCACTACAATGACGATTGTTTGTCAGATAGGGGGCGCTCTGGGAGAAAAATCACAATGACGAATTTTTGTATAGTAATTAGTAGGGGGGCACTCTGAGAGCCTGCCACAAACATGATTGTTAGTGAGGTAGGCGGCACTCTGAGAGAAAGGCTCTGACAAAGATGATTGTCTGTCAGGTATGGAACAATCTGAGGGAAAGGCCACCACATTGAAAAACATTTTCAGGCATGGGGGGTGTATACATCATCTAGGTAACATCTAAGAACCGGGTACGCGCCTGTCGAAACAAACAAACAAATGCATGATGACGTGTAATTACGCCACACATAATACATGTCACATTTATCTAAATATTTTCGTGGCAAAACCCCACATCATATCTAACCCGTATAAAGTTGTTTCCGCTAACAGCTTCTTATTTCACATGGGCTCTTCAACGTGTTAAACAATTCGCATTAATGTTAATTACAGTTAATGCGAATTGATGCGAATTAATGTTGAATTGATGCGAATTGATGCGAATTAATGTTAATTACAGTTAATTAATGTTAAACAGTTCGCATTAATGTAAGGTCAATCCCGCATTAACAAGATAAACTTAAGGCCGTCACCGGCAAACATATTAAACGCGACAACGCTACTGACGGATCATATAACCACGAGGACGGCACCGACTATATAAACTCGAGGGCGCCACCGTACGCGACCCTCGGATGCGAGCCGACACGCTGCAGCGCCCCCTAGCGGCGACGATCGCCTCACCCTCTTCTCGGCGATGGCTGGGTTGTCGGCACCGAGCACGAGCGAGGTGGCGGCTTCGCAGAACTGCGGCATGCCCGTGATGGGCAGGTACTCCTTGGTGAGCGTCTCGTCCGCCGCCATCGACGCCTCGACCTTACGCACGACGGGAAGCACCCAGGGCTTTGCCTCGTTTGTCCTGTATGCTGCAACAAGGAAGAGAGGATTGTAAGAGTGATATGTACACACATGAGTGATAATACAAGGTGCAAATGAAAAGGATTGAGGCTATGTATCCTCGTAAGACACGGCATTGCCTTGTCTGTCCTTGTACGCTGCAAGGGGTAGAGAGGAAGGTATGAGTGTAGCACACGGATATGTAGGCTGCAAGGGGAATAGATGAAGGTATGAGTTATGTACACAGAAATGTACGCTACAAGTGGGAGAAAAAAGATATGAGTGTATAGTATACAGACATGTGTGAATACAAGGCACAAATGACATAGATAGACTAAGAGCATATTTATGTTTGTAAGACACAGCTTTGCCTCGTCTGTACTGTACGCTGTAAGCAGGAGAGAAGGCAGGCATGGCATGAATCATGAATGATATATACACAGATACGTGTGAATACAAGATTAGAATAGAGGGCAAGGGCAAGTATGTTTGTATAGCCGGGAGCACATGTGGCAATTTTTATTGACAGTACTGGCGATTTTGTTGCCAGCAACAAAATCGCCGAGAAATCGCCACGTGTGCGCTGCATGGCGATGGCGCTTTTGACGCCAGAAAATCGTCGCTGGAATATCAAACACGTTTGATATTTGTTGCCATGTCGCTGAACAATCGCTATGTGTGCGCTGCACTGGCGACGGATTCAGGCAAAAGTTTTTGGATTCAGTGTCAAAATTGCATTGAAATGTTCTTTTTTCATTCTAAAATAACGCTGGTACATCACTGAATCTTCAAGCTCCAGTTCTCTTACTAAATTATTAAAAACACCACGCGAATCACGTCGCAGCACCCACGTACGTGCCCATGTACATCTCTCTCTCTCGCTGCTGTCTGTCGACGACGCCGACGCAAAATTATTAAATATATTCCAATAACTTGAAGAACGGCTATCGTGGTGTCAATGGGCGCTTCCATTTTGAACAGGTCATGTACAGTTCATACAGTGGTATGTTGCTGACAGATGGTTACATTGTGAAGAATTGTGAACCCTCGTAGAATCGAGTGCCTTGTGAAATACAAGAGAGGGTACCAAGATACAAGATACAAGATTGTCGCCGGGTCCCGCACACGTGTCGATTTTTATCGATAGTACTGTCCATTACTGTCGATAAAAATCGCCACGTGTGCGTGCGCCTGGCTTAAGACAGCTTTTCCTCGTCTGTACTGTACACTGAAAGTGGGAGAGGAGGCAGGCATAGCATGAATGATATTTCTTCTATGGCCAATAAGCAGATAAACCAGGCTGGACTTCCCTGACATATTTCTTACATGTAGTGGTACAAACGGACACACTAAAACTTATGTACCAGTGCGTAGCTCTCTTAAGTTAAAAATACCCAGGGCAAACGATGTATGATTACGCAAATAGAGAGAAAGTATGCCGTTAGAGATACTTTGCGAAGTGTGTACAAGGACATGGCCTGACCTTCGCCATGCTGCACACTGAAAGATCTAAGTCAAAATGAAAGTCTAAGCACGTTCTATATAGAGACGTGTTTGTGTAATATATTCTTCTATGTCTATGTCTATAGTTCTCTCAGGGAATTTCAGGAGGCACGTCATTTTAGGCGGATGGGGGAGGCCCGGGAGGGGGTTGTACCAATTGGAGTCAATTACACGTGTCACAACCAGCCCCCGCCTCCAATACACAGGTATATTTCTATCAGTTTGGAGACTTACACATCATGCTGTGAAAAACATGACTGTGTTGGGATTATCAAAAGTAAACACAGCTGGAAATATGACATGCCAATATATGGCATATCGGGAGGCTTTATGGGGAGTCACAAATTAACTTGGAACAGCTTTGAAGGCATGTTGGGCCCAACATGTGTTAAAGCCCGAGACCCTGTTGTCTAAATAAAGACCTGATCTTATGTACATTCTCCTACATGATCTAAATAAAAGACACGTTCAGCTAACACTTTCGTGCATGGTCTAAATACAGACACGTTCAGCCTACATTCTCCTACACGTTCTAAATAAAGATCATGCATATATATAGCAAGTTTTAATATTCTTCTCCACGAAATAATAGTGAACACGTCCTAAGATCTAGCAATAGCTATTAACATTGATCAGAGAATTACTAAACATGCCAGATTCAGCAAACCACAAGTGCCAAACTGCACTGCAGATTACGAAAATAGTTAACAACTTAACAGTTTCCGGTTTCTTTGCAGATACACTTATGACATGCCTAATCTATATTGGATCTGATAGCACTACACATTTACCATATTCATTTATGCGTGCAAGTGCAATACATTATCCACTTGAACGTAAATGCCATGAACATGCACTTTTATCAGATATTTTAGATATATGCAATCAAGATGCAATCAGTTTAGTTAGCAGTGGTGTGCTGGCAGTTTGATAGTTGAGTCAACTTGAGTGCATTCTGTTACATTAATTACATAAACAGACACTCAGTACAGTTTTTCTATTTTTTGAGAAAAAGTCATGGAATTCTGTAGCCGGGTGCCCGAGTGAAAGTTTGTGTATGCAGCGTGCATACAGTCTGATGTGCATGGTTAGCTCATAGCCTATTGATGCTGAGAGGGTCTATGTCCCCCAGGGTACTGCCGGAATGTACATTGTGTTTAGCCTTGAACTTATGATAAACATGGTGCCATAAATGCCAACCAAATTACCCCAGGGGAGTGGACTGACTGGAAACCGTTAACCACCACTTCTGGCCAGGCGTCAGTAGGGCTCGTAGGGTCTATGTCCCCCAGGGTATACTACTGCCGAACGTACCCTGGCGTACGGGTCCGGTATACCGGGAACGTACCCTAGCCTCGTAACTACCTGAATATGGTTAGGTTCGGGTTAGGGTTAGAGGAGTAGGCGTATAGGCGACTCCTGAGACTCGTTAGTGGAGTAGGCGAGGTACGTTCCGGAATACTTAAGATCAGTACCAGCAGAACAATATAAATACACGTTGATTATATGCTTGGTACCAGGGTACGTTCCAGGTATACCGGACCCGTACACACGTAGCATCGCTGGCAGTACCCTGGCGGGGACATCGACCCTCTCAG